GGCGGCGGTGGGCTCGCTCGCGCAGCCCCTGGGCGGCCGCACTCTCAGCCATTCCCTCCTTGTCGCCGTGTCCCGCCTCATCGGGACGCCAACTGGCTCGCCGCGCACGCGCGCCCCAGGTACATTCTCGGCAGGTAGCTTGCCGGCGGAGCGGGTCACGCACAACCTGCGGTGGACATACAAGGAGCACCGCGCCCAACACCAGGCGAAGGCGGCTGCCTCGCGGGCGCCCCCACCGCCACCCTTTCACTCCTTCGACACTGACGTCACGCCCGTCAGCACCACTTGCGTCCAGGAGAGCGCCAAGATGGAGCACATACATTGGGCCTAGATGGCGTCCAATCACGCTTCCAAGAAAGCAGGGTCTTCTTCCAATCTGGCTACGAGGTGCTCCCAAGCCTTCCGAAGATCACCCCAACAAAGCAAATTCCTTCAACCGCCTCTGGTTTCCCAATGCCTTTGACTTCTCGCCTTTTCGCTTCTGACGGGCTTCTGAAACCTCAAGAGCCACCTAAAATCGCCCAATGGAGACCCGACACGGCCCATACGGGCCTAACATGTCTTCCACCACTCCCCAGAGCGGCCCAAGACGGCCGCAAGAGGCGATTGCTCGCCGAAGCTTATGTAGGACCCCCTTTTCTGGAACGATGGTCCCCTATCGGCCCAGGAACATCCTACCAACGCCTCCAACACGTCAAAGACATCCCCAAGACGCGAAACAACTTTATGGCCGACTCGTGTTTTGTTGCCGCGCTTATCCACTGCCATGAAAAACCCAATAATCAACAACAAAAAGCTCCTCAGCGCTCCTACGGGATGTTCTTCGCCTTACCGACGCATGTGCGAACAAAGAAGGTACAGTTTGTAGACAGTTGCTTTTTCCTCGGTGCCATCATTTTCATATACATTAAGTCGTCTCAAACAGCGCGATGCACCCCAATTCGACGCGCATGTTCAACAACATGTTATCGTCGTTGGGTCCCACCTTTGCTGCAACAACTACCGCGATATCCTGGCTTCCCACTCGCCGTCGCTGTCAATTTCAACCGCGTCAATGCAAAGCCGCGGCCAACCCACAATTGTTTTGGACACGACGATTCCGTGATTCAATTCGGAAGGCTATGCTCTTTGGTGATCGTTCGCGCGAAATTGGTCTTCAAGACAGAACGTTCGCTTGCTCGCTCGTGGCAACACAATATGTATCTGTTTGCATGGACCGTTCATCTACACATCCCATATCGGGCGCATGCGTGCAAGAACGATCGTAACGCCAAACGTATGGCTGGTACGTTTTTTTTTTTTTTTTTTTTTTTTTTTTTTGTTTATTGTTGTTTCTTCCGTTTTGTTTCCGGAATCTAACTCAGTGTCCCGACAAATTGACAGATGCCGAATTACGGGAACATGCGCGCTCGTCCGATACTGATTACTTCCACGAGCCCAACACATGGATCGACAATTTGACCAATCATGGCCTCTCCTTCCGCCAGGCCAGCAGATATCATACATGGTATTGAACAACTACTGGTGATGTAAACGCACGTGACAAACTTTGCGACCAAACAGTGAGGGCCTGGAGCAATGGAACGAAAATGCTCGACATCCACTGACAAGGCACACGTCGCACCGTTCTACCGGCCGAAAAGAAACCAAGAATCGAGCACAAACATGGACAATCATGTTCTTCCAAACTCCTTCCGGACCAATGGCTTCGCCGCTTGGGGTGCGCACCACCAGAGGGACTGGAAAAGCTCGAATGATGTGACCACCAATTGACTTCCTTTGTGTGCGTCGCCGCGCAAGAGAAGTGATTCAAGACCGGTGACGGGAGTGGCACGGTGGAGCGGTTGTTCGGAGGACTCCGCCGACAGCCGCTTAGGGGGTGAAAAAGGCGTGTGAGACACTTGGCTCTCCCCATTCCCCCTTTTCCCCCTCCCCCAGGGCCCGACATCTTGTTGAAAAATGGGTGATCCCTAGACGTATTCTCCAACGCACCTCTGGGGCCCCTGGGGCCTCGAAATCGACCACCCGTAGCCTCCAAGATGCCTTCCAAGACGTCCCAACAAGGGCGCCAACGCGCCCGAACGGCTTCACGAGCTCCAGAAATGGCCTCCACACGGTCCACGAAACCCCCAAGACGCCCCAAGACCCAAAAACACCTTCACTGTGGCCTCAGGAGGTGCAAATCGTGGATTTCCTCAACAAATTTCACAATATGTTCGCGCTCTCTCCTTTGTGGGCTTCTGCGAGCCTCCGACGGTCCGCGACGCCTCCCCAGACTGGCCCATCACGGCCCAAGAGATCCTCAAGACGGCCCAGGGACAGCTCACGAGGGCCTCAAGACGACCCTTTGGGCCCTCAAGACTGCCAAGAAAGGAGAGAGCGTGATCCACCACCGCTTTGCTGTGAAAATTCCCCACCCCTCCCTCTGGAACCAGGGGTTCCCCCCGCCCCCTCCGAAAATTCCCCCCCCACCCCCTCCCCACACCTCCCCTTCTCCCTCCCCCTTCCCCCTCCACCTCCCCCCCTTTCACCCCTCCCCCCCCCACCCCCTTTAAACCCCCCCCCCAACCCCTCCCCCCCCCCCACCCCCCCCCCCCCCCCCCCTCCCCCCCCCCCCCCCCCCCCCCCCCCCCCCTTCCCCGAAAACCGAGGGGGTTCACTATCGGTTTCGAACACCCCCACCCAGCCCCGGGAAAACCGTGGGGGTTCATTACCAGTTCGAATCTCCCTTCCCCCCCCTTCCCCCTACTCGCCGCCTGCAACATGACTCCCCGGTCCCACCACCGTCCCCACCACCGCCTCACCACTGTCCCCACAACCACTGTCCCCACCACTGTCCCCACTGTCCTCACTGTCCCCACCACTGTCCCCACTGTTCACGCTGTCCCCACCCACTTTCCACTGTCCCCACCACTGTCCCCGCCAGTGCCCCCACCACTGTCCCACTGTCCCCCTGTCCCCACCACTGTCCACACCACGGTCCCACTTTCTTCACTGTCCCCAGCACTGTCCCACTGTTCCCACCACTGTCCCACTGTTCCCACTCCCCACTGTCCCCACCGCTGTCCCAGTACGCTGTCCGACTGTCCCCTCTGTCTCACTGTCCCCACTGTGCCCACCACTGTTCCCACTGTTCCATTGTCCTGCTGTCCCTATTGTCCCATTGCCCCCACCGTCCCATTGTCTCCACTATCCCCACTGTCCCAACTATCCCTGCCACTGTCCCCACCACGGACCCAGGTCCCACTCTCCCCACTATCCCCAGTCCCCATCACTGTCCCACTGTCCCACTGTCCCCTCTGTCCCCGCCGCTGTCCCAAT